CTATTCTATTCTATTCTATTCTATTCTATTCTATTCTATTCTATTCTATTCTATTCTATTCTATTCTATTCTATTCTATTCTATTCTATCCTATCCTATCCTATCTTATCCACACCTGCCTCTTCCAGATCTTTTGGGCAGGACTCCATGCAAATCCAACTTAAAACATCTGGCTGAACGTCCAAAAAGCCGTAAGAAAAGTTGCAGCAATATTATGAATTATTTTTTTCTGTTTGGAAGACTCCGAAGGCAATCCTTTTCTAGAAAAAAACCAACAAAAAACTTGGAACAATTTCACTTGCTCATCAACGACAATAAAATGAAGAATACTCACTTTTGGCAGCTCCTCTTTCAGAGCCTGCAAGACGTAATACATGGAGCTCTTGCTATTCTCACGCGGAGTAACGCAGACTACCGCTTCCCCGTGGACCACCACATCCCCGGGCTTCACTCTGAGCTTCGAGACGCAAATGGAATATCTCACAGTCTCCGCATTAACCTGTGCGGGGGCCATGGAAAATGTCATTTCATTACCTGCATCGGTTTTTGGCTTCTGGTCTGCTCCCACAAGCATAGAATCACTACCGGACAAGACCTTCAAAAGATTACCGTATTTTTCGCTCCATAAGACGCACTCGGCACCCACCCCACCCCCAAAAAGGTGGGTGAAAATGTCTGTGCGTCTTATAGAGCGGATATTGCCAAATATTGTGTCCCGTTTTCTGCTTCTTGCAGGCCCCATTTTCAGCCTCCTTGGCCCCATTTCTGGCCACTGTCCGCCCCATTTTTTGCCTCTGTGCGTCTCGTTTTCAGCTTCCCTGCACCGTTTTCGGCCTCCGCAGGCCTCATTTTCAGCCTCCCTGTGACCCATTTTCGGCTTCTGTGTGTCCTGATTTCGGCCTCTTTGTGTCCCATTTTCTACCTTCCTGCACATCCTGTTTTCGGCCTCCCCAAGTCCCGTTTTCGGCCAAAAACGTGCGTGCGTCTTATGGAGCTAAAAATATGGTACTTTAAACCAAACACTTATGATGGGAACTTATCCTGAGTTCTAAGTTTTAACCTTTACCTCCTTCCTGAAATACAACCACCTCCGAAACTTACACCTGTATTAAGTTACTCCCGTTGTTTGTACTTACTTCCAGCCTCAGCAGCCTAATCCGCTCCAGAGAAAGCTTGACAAGAATGAAACAGTCGTCAGGAAGGAAGACTTCTTCGATGTACTCCGATATCTGCAGGTCCAAAGAAAAACTTCTCAAGAGCCAGATTTGTTTCCGGCTACTCGCTGGATTAACAACACAGCAGAGCCCAACAACATTTGTGTGGTTGAGCGAGACAGGCGTGAAGTGAGTTTGGCCCCGTTTCAAAACCTTTCTCGCTACCATCGTTAAAGTGAATCACTGCAGTTGTTGAGTTAGTCAGACGGTTGTTAAGTGAATCCGGTTTCCTCATTGACTTTCTTCGTCAGAAGGTCATCAAAGGGGACCCTGGGACACTGCGACCGTCATAAATACGAGTCAGTTGGCAATTTTGATCACATGACCACGGGGATGGTGCAATGGTCGTAGGTGTGAAAAACGGCCGTAAGTCACCTTTTTCAGGGCCGTTGTAACTTGGAACGGTCACTAAGCAAGCAGCCATACATCAAGGACTACCCGTACATACAACTAGCTATTTAGTCAGTAAGAAGCACACCATACCTCTCCCAGAAGTGTTTTTTCTATTCTTCCTTTGACCAAACGGGCAAAATCAGGATCATCATCTATGTCGAGATGGGCAGTGATAATTGGCGTGCTACATATAAGCAAGGAAAGCATAAATGTGAAAAGGGTTTTAAAATATATGTATGTATGT